GATGAGTACCTCAAACATTGAGCCATGGCCAGTTACATTGTAGGATTAATGAATGCCAAAGCCATTACCTTGAAATTATGCATTATAACTCAGTAAAGGTAAGGAAAACCTTTTTAAAAATTGTTCTCAAGATGTATGGTTGCACTCTAAAAAAAAGAAATCAACATATGAAAATTCACCGTGTTACCAATGGGCTTTAACATGTTCCTTGAAGGCTTTGTCTCAACTAGTTTTGTGTAAGTTTCAGGATCAGCAAAGGTAATTGGAGAGTTAGGCGTAGCGGGAAGCGGTGGTGCGCTCAATACTCGTGGCGGTCGACCGTCAGTTATGTGATATGAAGCGATTGTACAACTTTGTTCTTTCAATGGTCGCATCTAAAACAATTAGGATATAAATCACCTTTTTTCAAGAACTCAATGAATTTTGAGGAAAGGACCTGTTCCTGAAGTTCTTTCAGTTGTGCACCAAACTCTTTTTTGACAACTTCAACTGCATGGTATACAGCTTCCTGGAAAGGTCGCAGGATTAGCTAGATTCAACTCAAATGATCACAACGTAAGAAATTACAGGCAACCGCAGCTTAGTAGTTTAATTACCCTCACCACTCCTAATTGAGCCTCCCAGCCTGGTTGTTCGCTTTTCAGCTTTTTCTCTAGCGCTTCGAAATGTGCCTTATCACGCTTCTTTTGCTCTTCTGCCTTCTTTCTTTCGCTGAGCAAAAGCGAATCCTGCAAATTATTATTATATTATAATGTAGCCCTTCAGATTACTGACAACTTCTTTCAAATAAAGCCATACATTTCTGAGCCCAATACGCAAAAGAATACAAAAATTTTAAAAGCTCAAAACCTTTGCAGCCAATTTCCTTTCTAACTCCAACTTTTCTACTTTCCACATACGTTCCCTATCACGAGCAGTGGCAAGATCACTCTCCATTCTTCTGAAAACTAATGTTGATTAAATGAAGAGGCACTGGAAAAACATGCTTCTACTTGTACTCCACTAGTCTGAGATCAAGGTTTGCTTGGATACTTTCCACTTCCCTTTTCATAGAAGAGACAAGCTGAACGGCGTCATCCCTCCTAAACACAATGAGGAATTCATACTCATAGAAAGCAAGTGAATTAACAGATACAGGAAATGAGACCAAGACAGAACTAGCATGTGTGATACTCACTCCTCTCTCAAAATTTTGTTCTTTTCCACGAGCTCCTCGCACTTTTTTCCTAAAGTCTCATTTCGCTTTGTCAAAAAGGCCACTTGTTCAATATTTGCGGACAACTGCATTTCTGTCTGCTTCAAAAGCTGCAAAAGAAAGTATAAATTCACCAAGGATTCAATGTGTGCGCAGATACATTATTAAACCGTTCTTAGTATACTCGTAAGAAAGTGATCGAAACTTCAAACCTCAGTCAAGCGATCTTTCTCTTTGCGGATCCCAGTGACTTCTGAGCGAGCAGTTGAAAGTAACTGAAATTTTATTTTGAAGCCGAGAAAAAACATTGTGTAAATGAAACTGTAGACTAAGTCAAAAAGATATATTGAATCGGGTGAAGTAGCTTTATAGCTAGACTGTTTTGTTCAACAG